GGCAGCCTCGCGCGGGGCCTCGGGCACTGCCAGCCCGAGCTGGGCTAAAGTGCGGGCAACACCGCGGTGCGGAAATGCTCCCGAGTTCCTCCCCGCAGCCAGGATTTTGTTGCAAGCCGGGGATCGAGTCTCGCTCTTCTTTAAAATATCTCGCGTAGACATCCTCTCTCCCCCCCCTCTGCACCCCGGGCCAGAATGCTGCGGAGGCAACGAGGCGCTCCCCTCTCCCTTCTCCGTCCATCCCCGCGCCCCCACCCCGGTCCCTCCGGCCTTACAGCTACGTGCCCCCCCCCTTCTCGAACGATGTGATGCCCAAGAAGACGCACGACTTGAAATCACACACAAAAAAACAGAGCAAGGAGAAGGATGGAGAGAGCCGCCCTCCGGAGATCAGAGAAGGGTGACCCGCCTCGGCTTCTCCCCAGAGAAGATCAGGGCGAAGGAGATCCCACCTTGCGCGATTCATGTTCAGGAACGCAGTTATTTGCTGTTTGCATTTAGAACGGCAGAGACTGCTTTTCGGTGTGTTCCTTCTTACGTATTGGAAGAAGCTGCCTTTGAACGACTAACTTGCGGAAGGAGAGGTCCTCATTTTGTAACACATCGCAGACAAGGAGTGCCCGCTTCTGCCCAACGCACTGGCGACCGCATCCTCGGCGCGGTCCCCGCGCGTCTCTCAAAGAAGCAAACAGGCCCACTACCTAAATTATAATGTATCACACTGGTGTGCCAACAAAAGGCACAAGTCCCCTTCCCTGGGAGGCGGGGAAGGAAGCTGTAAGTGTGGCAACTCTGACTTTGTAGTGCTTTAAGGAGGTTCAAAAGTAAGCGCAAAAAGGCTCTCAAAATATTTCATTCTTCCCCAATCTACAGTGCAATCCCAAACACATTCATTCATTCAGCATGGTTAGTCTTGCAGAAGCCTTGGACATTTCTAGAGAATGCCTTTACACAACACTGAAACACCCCCACCCTGGTGCTGTTCCTCCTTTTTTATGGAGAAGCAGGGATCCCTGATGTTGCTGTCTGCTGAGGAGGCCCACTTTTACCGAGCTCACTGGAAGTGGGCACCAGACCTTCCTGTTGTGGGCAAACCACAAAAGTTTTGGCAGTCTGATTCCAATAATCTGTTTAGGAGGCATCCAAGATCTTGGTCGAAATAAACTTACTCATAACAGTGAAACCACACAGTGCACCAGCCATTCTCACATGAAACAAGACAGATTGTACTTCCCCTCCGCCCTCCTTCAGGCGGTGGGCACAGCCAGTCAGGATATTCAACATATATGAATTTTTGGGGGTGGGGTCTAGATGGCACTCCACTTTTAATTAAGTTTAAGACGGAGCCCATTTCAATGGTGAACAATTATGACCCACAAGTCACATAGCCACTGCATCTTGCTTTATAATTAGGGATGCCAGGTGTCTAACAGGAAAAATAACAATTACTGAAACTTGCTGAGAGATTATGAATTTAAGGTTGGTCTTCCTGTAGCTCACTATCATCAATATATAGTTTGGTGATATTTTTTTTTGATGCTCTAGTGTGTAATTCAAGCATGCTTTGACACATAAAAGCCTTTCTGGAGAGACCAAAGACCTGTCCTGTTTTGAAGAGCAGATAACCAGAATTTGTGACAATGGTACTGCTGCAGGTTTTAGTCTGAACTTTAAAGGAATGGTCCAAAGTGGTGAACCATGTCTGGGGCTAGGGTTCAGCACTCTGGATAGCTTCTGTATAGTGGGGATTATCACCCAATGCTGATTCAGTACTCTTGAGAAATGCATGCCAACAGCCTCCATAGGATACAAAAGACAATACTTGTCGCCTGTTGTTGCCCCTTCCAACAACTGGCTTGGGTGGGATATACTGCATCTCAATTTGGAGGTTCCACTTAACTTACAGTGACTGACGGACTTCTCCATTCGTCTGTCTGATCTCCTTTTAAAATTATCATCGCTGATTACAGGAGAAGATGTGTTCTGTGAAGATGTCTGCAGAGACTGCTGGAGGCAAACCTCTGAGATTATGCATCAAAAGCCTTAGACCATCTCTGTGGACCTTCACTTCTGTTATAACAGGGCTATTTCTCCATGAGTGATAGCATGAGGCAGCGTTAGGAAGGGAAACTGCAATATTTAAATAAGTTATAAAAATAATTTCCAGAAAAGAAATGTGTGTGTGTGTGTGTGTGTGAAAAGGAGTGCACAACAAAAGGTAAGGGGATGGGCAAAATTGAGCATTGCAGGGAAAGGCAAAGCTGCCCTGAACACTGCATCATGTTGTGCAGTTCTTCCTTCTGAGGCCACAATAGCTAGGTTGATTCAAAACGTGGTGTTGCCACACGGCTAGAAAATATAAATGGAATCCTTCCCACTAATTAAGAGAGACAGAATCCACTAAGATGTAGTCCTGTGCCAGCCTTACAGCAATGAACAAGAAGAGTTGGTGAGCTATAGCACAGTTGTGCCCCTACAGGTCAGGTGTGTCTGTCTTCCCATTTACAACTGTTAAAGGTACCTAACCCTGACCTCAAGCTAAGGATGCCACTGCAAAAGTCAGTAAACATTCTTTAGATTTCTAGAGCCTTGCACCTTCTGCTAATCTAACAGTAGTTGCGGTGGTATGTGTGGGCCAAGGTCTAGTTTCATTTCTAGGCAGCTGCTAGAGGCAGTCTTCCAACAGCAACAAGGGGCTTTCCCTCTTTTTGAAACAGATGTGTGTTTCTCTCTCTCTCTCTCTC